TTGAATACACCACAGGGAGCTTGCCAGGCTCTGCTGTGCAGGCAGGATACTCTCAGTAGTTTGCCAGGCTCTCCAAGAGGGGCAGAGGAATCAAACAAATGCAAGGCAAATGCTCTCTCTACCCGCTGTGCTATTGCTCTAGCCCCGCCAGTACATAGGTCAACATTTTTAAAGATCCTTTCCCCTTCATATTGGAGCAAGAAAAGCCTCTTCAACAAGTGGTATTTGGCCACAACAAAAAAAATGAACTCAGACCTCTTCCGCCATGCACAATAGTCAAATCAAGATACATTAGAGACTGAGCTACCAGACCAGGATCCATAAGTTACAAAGAGGAAAATACTGGCGGACCTCTCAGTGACTCTGAAGCTAGCAACAACTTTAAGGATGAAATGCCACTAACCAATCAAGTGGAAACAATGATAAACAAATGGGATTAAATTAAGATGCTTCTGCACCTCAAAAGAAATGATAACCAGACTACAAAGCCCACAGATTGAAAAAAGTGTTTTGCCCACCACATATCTGACAAAGGTTAATAGCCAAAATATATAAATCATGAGCAAAACTCTACAAGAAAAAAACATCTAACCCAATCTAAAAATGGTGCAAAGAGATGAACAGAAACTACCTACCTCAAAACAGAAAAACAAATTGCCAACAGGCATATGGCGGGAAAAAAGTTCTGTATAAGAGAAATGCAAATCAAAAAAAATATGACACCAGACAAAGTGGCAATCATTAAAAATAACAAGAGGGGCTGAAACAATAGTACAGCAGAGAGGGCAACTGCTTTGCACAAGGCCAACCCAGATTCAATCCCTGGAATCCAGAATGATATCTGAGTGCAGAGACAGGAGTGAATAATACTAACAACAATCCATGAGGATGTGGAGAAAAAGGGACTGGTGGGGATGTTGACTGGTGGGGTTGTTGACTGATCCAGACATTTTGGAAGTCAACAAGGTCATTACTGAAAACAAAGATAAAACCCAGAAATTGAACTTCAAACCACTCTGGGAATATACTCCAAAGGTCCAAAAGCAAGCACAGTCCAGAAAAAGAGATCTGCACTCTTTTGTCCATTGCAGCACTGCTCAAAATAGCCAAATTCTGGAAGCAAACAAGTGCCATAAACAGATGAATGGATAAAGAAACCAATGCTACATCTACACAATGGAATACTACTCTGCAGTAAGAAAAGATGAAATTTGCTGCTATGTGAATGGATCTGGAGAGCAACATGTTGAGTGATGTTAAAAGGTAAAGGTAAAGGCCCTCCCGTTGATCGTCGATTTGCTTGAGCGGGCCCAGTAACGTCTCCATTGGAGACTTTGTTGTTACTGTGTCTGGCATATCGAACATATCGAATACTCTCGGTAGCTTGCCTGGCTCTCCAAGAGGGGCAGAGGAATCGAACTCGGGTCGGCCATGTTGGCCGTGTGTAAGGCGAACGCCCTACCCGCTGTGCTATCGCTCCTACCCTGAGTGATGTTAGTTAGAGAAAAAGGGACAGACATAGAATGGGTTCTCTCCTATGTGGGATATAAAGAAAATTTGTAAGAGAATAATAAAGCCCAAAAAGCAATAGAATGAAGTGCAGGAAAACTGTCAATAGATTCCACTTCTACTATTCATCAGTAGAAGCTTGTCACTGGAGTGGAGGTGGTGGCGGTAGGGTGGTGGAGGTTAGGGGGGAGTGGGAGCATGGAACCTGAGTGAGACACATACAAGGCAAATAACTTTCCCACTGTTCTCTCTGCATGCAATTCTAGATTCTTCAAGGCAATCGGTGACTAGCAAAATTCAAAGTTTGGGCTTTTAACTCTATTTTAGGGAGCCACAGTGATAATTCAGTGGGTAGGGCATTTGTTCTAGATTCGATTCCCTGGCATCCCAGATGGGACCCTTGAGCCAGTCCGGAACAATTCCTGGGCGCAGAGCCAGGAGAAAACCCTGAGCACCACTGGACTCCCCCTATCCACTTCACCCCCACCCCCCGAAAACCAATCTATTTCCCCCACCAAGTTTTATTTAGCCTCTGTGATTTATAACACTATTGGCAATATTTTTAGGCACACGGTATTCCAACACCATACCCACAAAGTGTCAGCATCCCTCCACAGAAGCCCCCAGACATCCCTTACCAACCACCCACTCCCTTGGCAAACAGCTCTATAGACAGACTCTCAGGATCTGTTACCATTTTGTTAGTGCTTTATTTTGTCTTTAGATTCCACATCTGAGAAAGATCACTCTGTTTTGCCCCTCTCCCTCAGAAGTAAAAGCCCTTTACTCTTTTATGCAATAAGAGAGCCTCTAATTTTATCTATGTAGCAGTGAATGGCATGATTTTTATCCTTTCTGAGCTGAGCAGTATACACACACACACACACACACACACACGTATATTTGTGTGTGTGTGTCTTTACTGAGTTACTTGTTCGTAGGCACTTGCATTATTTCCAAATCCTGACTATCGTGAACTGTGCTGCTATGAAGATAGGAGGGCAAAATGTCATGTCACTGTCATTGTCCTCCTGTTGTTCATTGATTTTGCTCGAGCGGGCCCAGTAATGTCTCCATTCTGAGACTTCTTGTTACTGTGTTTGGCATAGTGAATACGTCACGGTAGCTTGCCAGGCTTTGCTGTGCGGGCGAGATACTCTTGGTAGCTTGCCGGGCTCTCTGAGAGGGGCGGAGGAATCGAACCTGGCTCGGCTGGGCTGGTTGCGTGCAAGGCAAACGCCCTACTGCTGTGCTATCGCTCTAGTCCAGGAGAGCAAACAGGTTTTTGAAATGGCATTTTGGGGCTCTAAGGGTAGATGTCAAAAAGTGGAACTGCTTGTTTAAATTTTAAAGTGAGTTCCAAAGGCATCAGTCATATGGGACAGAGTAAAAATGCAAATTTCTAGGCTTGCTGATTTTATATTGAATGAAGACATTTCCTGGGGGGCGGGGGGAATGTTGGAATATATTCAAGCAGTGTTCTGGGGCTAGTGTTGCTGAGGGTACCATTATGTGGTACCAGGGATCTAAGGATGTCAGCAACATGCTCCTGCTTCAAGAAATTTTCTTTCCACAGTAAAGTTTGGAAATTACAAGTTCAGTAAAAATTAAAACTACTTTATTAAAAATAAACGTACAATCTCCTAAAATACTTATGGTTTTTTTTCCTTCCATATGAAATTTATTCTCTTTTTTGACTTTAGCTTGTTAGAAGACTAAGAGTCAAGAAATCCCAAAATGATTTCTTCCAAAAAGTAAAGCCACTGAAGTTGCCAATTACTATGCTAAAGCATGTACCATCTATACTTAAAATAAGTAAATGTAGAATAGCACTAAGATTAAAATGATACGGTTGAACACACTTAAAAGTATTCTAGATATTTTATTTCAAACATGAGGTTATTTTTCTAGACAAAGCAAAAGTTTATTTTTCAATTAGTCAAAACCACTCTATTCTGCAGCAATCAAAAATAAAACCATAAAGCCAATTTTTAAATATAAGGCTAGCATTCTTGAGAAAGAAATTATAATTTTAAAATTGCTATAAGGAAAAGCTGAGTGATACTAAGGGCAAAAACAAAAGAAAATTAAAGGAGGTTCACATTCTATTTAGCATACATCAATTCTCCAACTACTTTAAAAGTACACAAATACGAATTATTAATACAGCAACGTTGTTCCATCAGTTTCAAATATATCCAAACGGCTTAGTCTACTGGAGGTCAGTATCCTTTGGCTTTTAATTGTTTAAATTAAAAGGCAGGGAAAGGACCAACATATTAATCTGAAAAATTCTATTTCTTCCCAATCCTTCAACCTATCAAAATATAAACTATAATAATTTGTGTAAGGATGAAAGACGTATTTTGAGTGTTTGGTATTCTAGCATGGGAATACCCCCTTTTTCATAACAGTTTTAAAACCCCCCAAATTTACTCTTAATGTTTAATTGTAAAACTTAAAAATAAAGTTTTTAAGAAAAATATATGAAATTAAAAACATCTACATATTTTAGTTTTCTCATTATTTATGTATTATAATTTTAGTTTTCTCATAGTAGAAAAATTCAGGCTGTGGGGCCAGTTCGTAGTATAGCCGGCAGGACACCTGACTTGCAAGCAGCTACCAGACTGCTTGGAGAGCCTGGCAAGCTACCGAGAGTATTCGATATGCCAGACACAGTAACAACAAAGTCTCCAATGGAGACGTTACTGGGCCCGGTCGAGCAAATTGATGATCAACGGGAGGGCCTTTACCTTTTTACCTTTACCAAACTGATGCCTGGCACCCCAGATGGTACCCCCAAGCACCGCCAGGAATGATCCCTGGTACAGAGTCAGGAGTAAGCCCTGAGGCACAGCTGCCTGCAGCCTTCCTGGGGGGAGGGGGGTGGAGTCAAATTGCCTCAGTAAGTATACTAATGTGACTTTCTAAAAGACACTAAACCTGTTTACCTTAATTTTCATGCCCTCATCCATAAAACGAGGATAGTAATACCGTTAATTTTTTAAAGACTCAAAAGAGAGTAAGATACTCTCTCTCTATATGAAGATCGATCTCCCCCCAGTTAGATATTTACCGCTAGTTCATGTGGTTTAAATTAGCTAATAATATGTAATGTACAGCATCTAGCAGAGACTAAACTTTCACTAAGTCAACTTGTCAATATTAAGACACATTATCTTTTTGTCCAAGTAATTCTGGGGGTAGGGCCTGGGCGTCACTTAAGTGACCCTTAAGTCTGGTTGTGTGGGTGTGCCTGGTTGTGCTGTAGTGCTTCTCAAGAGGTGCTGGGGCCAGATGGTTGGGCAGGGTAGCAGGGGCCCTGGGATGCTGATGACTGTACACAAGGCATGTGTTCCAGTCCTTCCAGCGATCTCTGTGGTCCCTCTCCAAGAAAAGTGACTACTCAAGTTTTCATAAGTCACCAAATTAACAATAAGATATAAACTTTTCAAGAAAAGCATTTTTCTTTATTCTTAAATATGTACCTTCCGTGCTATTGGTTCTTGACCTTCCATCAATGTGTACCAGCTGACAAGTTTATTCCAGCCCTCAGTTGGCAATAATATGTAATCCAATTCATCAATAAGATGTTCTTTAAGTGACTGGGCATCACCATCTATAAAAGGAAAAATAAATGGAAAACAATAACACATCTCTCTAAATACTCTAGTTACAGACATTTCAAATTATTTTAACTCAGGCTAATTTATTTAAAAGATGCTGAAAAAAAAAGTGGATTACATTTTAACCTACATTCTAAAATAAACATTTTTAAAAAGCTTCATGTGTACTAAGAATATTTAAAAATAAAAGACTTGTTTAGTAGTCTCTCTTTTTTTTTTTTCTTCATATAGGAGTACTGCTATTTATTCAGCCACTGATTTGGCTGAATGAATTGTGCATGAACTCCGCAGTAGTCCAGAATTTATCTTATTTGATCTAAAAAAATATAAAGGGAGATGCTGTTATAATTCTGATTCACTTTCAAACTTCCGATTAAGCTAAAAAGATTAATGCAGGTATGAAAAAAGATCCAGGAATTACACCCTAAAATGTATCTATATCACCTAACTACTGAGACTCATTTCTTTACTTGAATTTAATTTCACTGAAGTAAATAAAACATAAAGGGGATTTCCCATTGAGTCAATAATCCTTTACAGGGGAATATGGGAACCAAACCTGTTTATTTCTTTTATTATTATTTTTAACCAAACTGGTAGCATTCCAGTGAGATGATAGTATTCTTTTTGTGGGTAGGGGATGGCCAGGAATCAATCTGGGACCTATTAACAGAAAGCACAAACACTCGACCATTGAGCTAACTAACCCTCTAATCCCAAACTATTCGTTTTTGGAGGGTGGGGGGATTGGGGCCACATCTGGCTGGTGCTCAGGGCTTACTCCTGGCTCTTCGCTCAGGGAACACTCCTGGCAAAGTAAATGCCCTACCCAAGGCACTATTGCTCCAGTCCAAACTATTCTTAATTTGATGTAATAAATTTAATTTGAATTTAATTTAACTCCTATATGAAAAAAAATATTCCCAAACTATTCTTAATTTGATGTAATGAGATAAATCAAGAATCAGGAAGAATGCTAAGGAATGGAAACAAATTTATTATATGTAGGACCAATATATAGTATATTCATATGGAGCAGAAACAGGCAAGTCTGAATTTCACAATGTGAATTTTAATAGCAGATATAAACTAAGTATTAATTTTTCTCAACATTTTAAGCCTTAGTTGTAATCAAAAATTCTTGAGGATTGGGGCTGGAGAGATAGTACAGTGAGTACGGTCTTGCCTTACATGCAGCTAACGCTGGTTCAATCCCTGGTAACCCAGTATGGTTCCCTGAGCCCTGCATGGAATGTTCCCTGAGTGCTGAGCTAGGACTTAGCACTGAAAAACACCAGGTATGGCCCAGGGAAGGGAAAAAAAAAAAATCTTAAGGCTAACTGAAAATTTGGGACTATTTTCAGAACTCTGAAAATAAAAGCATTTACATATTCAGTATGTATTATGTCTGTGAGACATAATAAATAGAACTTGGTATTTCAATCAATTCTCAAAACAATCCTATGAAACAGTTAACTCCTTAGGATCAGAAAATATATGCAGGAATATGTCGAAACTTCTCAAAACTACATATACTGGAAACTGCAGGGAAATGGGCTATAGAACACCTATTATCTCATTTGTCTTTCAAAAATAGTACCATATTGTACACCTCCATTTTAATTAGTAAACAGATTCAGGTTATTACCCAAGATAACACATAGATAAAATTGTTAAGACTCGATTCAAAAATAAATCTATTTACTCTAACATCCATTCTTTTCTAACTAAAATAAAATGCCTTTTAAGAAAACTGAGGAAATAGAAAAGTTAACAGTTAAAAGATCTGCATTGTTTTCCACAATAAATCAAGAGTTTGGGAAAGAGATTTTTATATTATACCATTAACCAGAATAATTTATATCTGATGGCAAAATAAAGCAATTCTTGTCCTTGTTTTTTTTTTGGGGGGGGGGAAACACCTCTGCTGCATCAAAGGCAAGTATCCTACCCACTGTACTATAACTCTAGTCCCAAGCAATTCATTTTTACAGGGACAATACAACCCTTAAAATAGTTATTATTTGTTTCATCTGTGGTTACTGATCTTTTTTTTCAGTTCATACATAAAGGTAAAGGTAAAGGCCCTCCCGTTGATCATCGATTTGCTCGAGCGGGCCCAGTAACGTCTCCATTGGAGACTTTGTTGTTACTGTGTCTGGCATATCAAATACTCTCGGTAGCTTGCCGGGCTCTCCGAGAGGGGCGGAGGAATCGAACTCGGGTCGGCCATGTTGGCCGCTTATAAGGCGAACGCCCTACCCGCTGTGCTATCACTCCAGCCCATACATAATAAAATAAATGTATGTAAAGCTTAAAATCTGATAAATCAAATATAAATCAAAGTTAAGGGTTTTGGTTTTTTCGCAAAAATATACATAAGTGGTCAAGCAGCATGTTTAAAAAAAATCCTATTTCAACTAAATTCCTCTTATACTTTTATCTAAAACTGACTACACAGAAACACCACTTGTATTTCCAGATTCTTTAAGCTATTCATTGATTCTTACTGCAAACCATGTACAAATCTTAACTATAAATTATTACTCATTTAAATTAATTATAATTCATGAATTAATATAACAAATTTGGGAGGGAACCCACACCTGATGGTGTTCAAGGGCTGACTCCTGGCTCTGTGCTCAGGGATCACTCATGGCAAGCTCAGGGGACAATATGGGACACCAGGTATTGAACCTGGGTCAATGCAAGGCAAGTGTCCTACCCATTCTACTATTGTTCTGGCGCTATAAGTATTATTTTTAAATTGAAAAAAAAAAGACTATTTCGAAAAGACAAAAAGTATGTTTCTATGTTCATTGCAGTATTAGTCACAATCGAGAAAGTCTGTATACCACCCAAAAATAAAAAAAACGAATGAGTGGATAAAGAAATTGTGGTATGGGGGCTGGAGCAACAGCACAGCGGGTAGGGCATTTACCTTGCAGCAGCCAACCCAGGTTGGATTCCCAGCATCCCAAATGGTCCTCTGAGCACCGCCAGGGGTGATTCCTGAGTGCAAAGCCAGGAGTAACCCCTGTGCATCGCCATGTGTGACCCAAAAAGAAAAAAAAAATTGTGGTATGTAGGCACAGAAAAATACTGTGAAGTCAGTCAGAAGTAGAGGGCCAGATAAAGATGTCTCCTAGGTGGGATGTGAAAAGCATGGTAAGGGAATAACAAATGGCCAAAAGCAATGATCCAAAGAAATGAGTCTGCCAAGAGGAGCCATGGGAGGAGATACTGGTAGAGGAAAGTGAACACTAGTGCTGTGTATTTTATTAGGAAATTGCATTCAGGAAACTCTATCATTAACAAAGTATAAATCACAGTACCTCTGTAAAAAAATAAAATGTAACAATCCAAATTATTAAGCTCCTAAAAATACAAATCAAAAGCACAATGTGGCATCACATCATATCATTTAGGATGAACACAATAAAAAGCATAGGTAATAACAAGTGCTGACAAGTATGTGGAGAAATTGAAACTTACATACTGCTGGTGTGAATATAACATGATGCAACTATTTTAGAAAAAACAGCTAAGCAATTTTTCAAATAGCTGTAGAGTTTTAAATCAGTAAACTACAGTTAGGTATACAAAATAAAAATACAGATCTAATATAGATTTAGATCTATATTTTGTATAGATCTAAATATAGACCTATACAAAAATTTGTATCAGTAACATTATTTATGAAAGTCACATAGTAGGAACCAAAATGTTGATTAATTTATGAGTGGAAAAACTGAAAGTGACATCCATACAATGGAGAATTATCTATAAAAAGGAACAAAGTACTATGAGTTAAAATTTGAAAACTTTATAGTAACTAAGTCAAACTTTAAAGGCTAATATTCTTTAACTTCATTTAGATGAACTATTCACAAAAGATAGTCAAAAGAGGGGGAAAAGCAGGTTAGTAGTTGTCTAGACTTTGTGTATTAAGGCATGATGGGGAATGATTAGCAATGGATGTATGTGGTTTTCCCTGGGGAGATTAAAATATTGTGCAATTAGTGGTAATAACTGGTATCTTGTAAAGATACTAATCCTACCGAACTGTACAATTTAAAAAGATGAATTTATGGCACCTGAACTCTATTTCAATGCCTTTAAAGGCCTACAAAGAATAAATTTTAATAAATTTTGGAATTTTGTTCAATCTGTAAAGTGAGGTAAAATAATCTGACAATGTAAAGTCTTTTAATCCACTCACATAATTTCTCTATTTAGATCTCAATTTCTCTCAGCAATATCTTAGTTTTGATGTATAGGTCTTGTATGTACTTAATATCAGATGTTTATAGAGTATCTTAAAAAAATTTTCCATTTGTGTTAGTTCTGTAATTGGTTTCTAAATTAGCACAGCGGGTAGGGCGTTCGCCTTACACGCGGCCAACATGGCCGACCCGAGTTCAATTCCTCCGCCCCTCTCGGAGAGCCAGGCAAGCTACCGAGAGTATTCGATATGCCAGACACAGTAACAACAAAGTCTCCAATGGAGACGTTACTGGGCCCGCTCGAGCAAATCGATGATCAACGGGAGGGCCTTTACCTTTACCTATCCTGTAAAATAGTCACATTTATGTGATCTAGATGCTTCTGTGAAATATATTAGAGAGATACAGGTCTATAAACAAATGCAGATTTATCACTACTTTCATAGGACTTATGTCTTTTATTTCTTGCCTTATGATACTACTCTCTTGAATTATGTTTACACTCTCTAGTAGAATACTGAGCAGGAAGTGGATCTTTCCTTCTTCATGATGCTAAGATGACATTCAGTCTTTCACCATTACTAAGTATACATAGATTTTTCACTCCTTTTTTTTTTCTTTCACTTTTTGGGTCACACCTGGCAATGCACAGGGTTTATTCCTGGCTCTACACTCAGGAATTACTCCTGGCTCTGTACTCAGGAATTATTCCTAGCGGTGCTCAGGGGACCATATAGGATGCTGGCAACCAAACCCGGGTTGGCCACGTGCAAGGCAAATGCCCTACCCACAGTGCTATGGCTCCAGCCCCAGATTTTCACTCTGACATAACATTTACACACACTCTGTCTCTCTGTCTGTCTCTCTCTGTCTCTGTTGGATTTAATTTACTAAATTCACCATACTTTTAAAGGGTATATATGATCAGATTAAGAGCTAGGATATATTTCTTTTGTATTATGAAATTATGAGTGCCAATGATTATTCTCTATAATTCTCTTTATAATTCTCTATAACATTAACAGCACATTTCCTGGTACCACCCACACAGTAAAAATATTTTATAAAATTGGGGGACTGCTGGGGATCAGTACCACAATTCTGCCTATTATAACATGGCATACTTTTTGACTTAATCTATTCCTTTATATGTAAAGTGGTTTTCTTGTAAACAGTACATATGTGGTTCATGTTTTTATCCAATCATTCTATTTCTCATTAGGTTATTTACATTTAATATGATTATTTTAAAAACACTGAACTTAATCTCGCTGTTTGCTTTATATTTGTTTCATCTGATCTTTACTCTTTGGTCAACTTGAACAAAATTAAAAAAAGTATTTTCGTTATGAGTCTAAATGATATAACAGCGAATAGGGCTCTTGTAGTACAGCGGGTAGGGCTCTTGTCTTGCATGCAGCTGATCCAGGGTTTGATCCCAGGTACCCCATATGGTCTCCCGAGCCCTACCAGGAGTGATCCATGAGCACAAAGCCAGATGTAAGCCCTGAGCACAGCCAGGTATGCCCCCAAATTAAACAAAACAAAAATACAAATTGTTTCCATTATTGGTCATGCTTATTCTCCTTGCCAGGTAACTGTTGGTTAGAACCAAAGATAAAATTTTGTCTTTTACTCCTAAAATGCAGTCAAGTTAGACACTGATGCATTCAGACAAACTGATTTTGCCTTATTAAGTGACAAAACCATTCTTGGTAGTCTACCCCATGAATAGCATGGTTTTCATTTTACTGATTACTTTTGTGGTGTGTGAGTGTGTGTGTGTGTGTTGGGGGGGGGGGTGTTTCACAAGTACAACTCAGAGACAGAACCAGGTGTGCTCAGGGGGCCAAGTGGGTCCAGGAACTAAACAACGGTCAAGCACAAGCACGTAATACTCCTATACTATCTCCCCAGCTCAATTTATAAGATGTTCTACAATAGCTGCTAGAAACAAATTATTGTTTTGTTCTGTTGGTTATTTGGAGGGGAGGTGGGGTGTGTCATACTCAACTGTTCTCAGGGCTTCCTTGTGGCTCTTCGCTCAGGGATTGCTCCTGGTGGTGCTGGGGTTGGGGGTGGAGAGTGGGGGGCTATGAGATGCTGGGGAACAAACATGGGTAAGCTTCATGTAAGGCAAATGCACTGTCCACTGTACTACGGCTAGTGTTCCCTATTTTCTGAGATGAGTGCCAATGATTATTCTCTATAATTCTCTTTGAATGCTTTTTCTTTTTTCTCTAGGCTAAGACAGCTTCCTCACAAACTTTGATTTAACAGTCAACTAAAAACTTGAGACCCCTTGTAGGTATCTAGGTCTCCTTTTCTATGCCTCTTGCTTCCCTCCTGTACTGTCTTGAAAATTCTGGCACAACCTTGGCGTCTCTGGACAACAAACTCTCCTCAACTAACAGGTTGCCAAGCTTTGTCGGGGTTTCCCTATTTACCATGACTTGGAATACTCTTAGCAATGTAAAAGCTGAGGCAATCACACGGTTCATTTCATTGCTCCCCTCCCCATCACTATTCTTTGATACCTGGTGTCCAATATTCTGAGAATCATTGTTTCAAATATGATCAGGGTTTAGTTCACACAGGTGGAACAGTACATTCAGTACCTGTCAATGTATCCTGGTCAGAAATCAGATTTCTCATAGTTATGTCTTATTCTTTTTAAATGTGATGAGAAATATTAGACAACTGTTAGTGTTATCTAAGATCAATGCAAAAATCCAAGAAATATAACTATCAGTTCCACCCAACTTAAAATGTCACATCTGTTTGTATAAAGAATATTCAATACAGCATTACTCTAAATAACATAGTTCTTTCTAGTTTTATTAGTAAAGCAAATAGATTTTATTGAAAGAAATTTATTTAGATGTGAGGGGAGAAAAAGAGAGATACGCATTCAAAACAGAATAAGGGCTTTTCCAGAGTGGAAGAAGCAATACTTTCTAGTTTACATTCTTCATTTAAAGGTTGAAATAATAAAGTCATGTCATAAATAAATAAACAAACATTTATCATGTACAGAATATGATGGTAATAATCTGAGTTCATTGGGTCAAATTTTTAAACTAAAGAAATATCTAGTATCAGTTTATAGCAACATTTTTGTATTACATATGTTGACAATAATATACTAACATTTTTACAATATGACATACTTATAAACATATTTACAAAATGACTGAAGGGAAAAAATGACCTTTGAGAAGTCCAGAGTTATCAATAGGTCCAGGATATACATTTTGATCTCCCATCTGGTATTTGTCCCAACTGTCAAAGCCAACATATTTTTTCCACTGTTTGAACCAGCGACTATCAACTAGGTACCTAAAAAAATAGTAAAGGAAAAAAACATCAGTACAGGAAAACACCAGAATTACAAAAAAGCCATGCTTGATATTTAATTTTGTACTGAAAGTATGTGCCTACTTCCAATGATTATTAATGTACTGTTATGTGGGAAACTTTACTCATGCGAACTATTATTTCTTTTCTAGAAATATCTACTATTTGAGAACAAGTATTATCATATACACATTAAAATGCTGAAGTTTAATATATACAGCTATTCAACAAAATATTCATCAGGTGAATAAAAATTCAAATGTTAACCAGAAGAAGCAATCAAAGCAAAAATTTTAATTTTTAATACAGCAAGAAAAAAGTAAGAAAAATAGCTCCTTTGGAAAAAATATACAAACACATCACACACACACACACACACACACACACACACACACACATTTTTTCTCTGCCCACCTCTCCAGAAAAATGTCAAAGAATTTCAAAGAGTTCATATAAATTAACACAAGTACACAGATATATGCACAAAGGTTACAGCTATAGAAGAGCTAACATACCACAAATATGTATTATTTATAGATACAGGCATACGTATTATAAGTACAAAGAATATGGATAGAGAGATGTATACAGGTTACAGCTATAGAAGTTAACATATACCACAAATAATACATATTATTTAGATACAGGCATACATACTAAAAGTATGAAGAATATGATAACAATTTCATATGCTATCCTCTGGGAAGAGAAGCAAGGACGTGGGATTAAAAATCACATACAGTGCTCACTTTGGCAGTGCAGATACTAAAACCAGAATAATAACAGAGAAAATTAGCATGGACCTTACATATGGATGACACACAAATTCGTGAAGTGTTCCATGATTCTGGACTATGTTAAAATAAGAAGCTTCTATGAGAAAATGCTCTACATCATTAATCATCAGGGAGATGCAGATCAAAACCACAATGAGATACCATCTCACACCTCAGAGACTGGCCCAAATTCAAAAGAACAAAAGCAACCGATGCTGGCGTGGATGTGGCGAGAAAGGGACACTCCTTCACTGTTGGTGGGAATGTCCACTGGTTCAGCCCTTCTGGAAAACAGTATGGACGATTCTCAAAAAATTAGAAATTGAGCTCCCATTTGACCCAGCAATACCACTCCTGGGAATATATCCCAGAGAGGCAAAAATGTATAGTCGAAGTGACATCTGCACTTGTTTGTTCATTGCAGCCCTCTTTACAATAGCCAGAAACTGGAAGAAACCTGAATGCCCAAGAACAGATGACTGGTTAAAGAAACTCTGGTACATCTACACAATGGAGTACTATGTAGCTCTTAGAAAAGATGAAGTCATGAAATTTACATACAAGTGGTACAATATGGAAAGTATCATGCTAAGCGAAATGAGTCAGAAAGAGAGGGATAGACATAGAAAGATTGCATTCATCTGGGGGATATAAAGTAACAAAGTATGAGATTAATACCCAAGAATAGCTGAGATCAGCACCAGGAGGATTACTCCATAACTTAGAGGCCAGCCGGGTATCCTAGAGGAAAGGGCTATTCAGATAGAGAAGGGAGCACCAAATAAAGGATGTTTGGAGGATCCTCCCAGGAGGGGAGAAGCATGTCGAAAGTAGACTATGGACTGAACATGTTTGCCACTCAATGCCTCTTTTGCAGACCACAACACCCAAAAGGAGAGAGAGAACACAGGGGATTGCCCTGCCACAGAGACGGGGGGATGGGGGGATGGGGGTGGGAGGGATATTATCCATGGTGGTGGAAAATGGGCACTGGTGGAGGGATGGGTATCTGATCATTGTATAATTGAAACCAAAGCACAAAAAATTGTAAATTTACAACTTTAAAAAAAAATAAAATAAAATAAAGGGGGAAAAAAAAATGTAAAAAAAAAAAAAAAAAAAGAAGCTTCTGCACTTCAAAGAAAATGGTGACCAAGATACAAAGAGAAACCACAGAATGGGCAAAATTATTTACACAGTACCATCTGATAAAGGGGCTAATATCAAAAAGATATAAGGCACTAGTATAATTTTACAAGGAAAACCATCCAACCCCATCAAAAAATGGGGAGAAGAAATTAACAGAAACTTTCTCAAAGAAGAAATACAAATGGCCAAAAGGCACATGAAAAAATGCCCTTCATCACTAATCATCAGGGAGATGCAAATCGAAACAACAATGAGATATCATCTCATACCATAGACTGGCACACATCAAAAAGAACATGAGCAAGCAGTGCTGGCATATGTGGGGAGAAAGGGACTCGCACTTCATTGTTGGTGGGAATGCCAAATGGTGGAGCCTTTTTGGAAAACAATATGGGAAGTCCTCAAAAAACTAGAAATTGAGCTCCTATTTGACCAGGCTATACCACTTCTGGGAATACACCCTAGGGGCCCAAAAACACAATGCAGAAAAGCCATCTGCACTTCTATATTCACTGAAGCATATTTCACAATCTGGAAACAACCTGAGTGTCTGAGAATAGATGACTAGATAAAGATGCTATGATACACCTAAAGGAATACCACAGGAAAAATTAAGTCACGAAATTTACTTACAAATGGATGGACATGGGGAGTATCATGCTGAGTGAAATGAATCAGACACAGGACAAGACATAGATTTACAACACTCATTTGTGGGATAAAGGTTCTCACATCGCATGAGACTTATACCCAAAGACAGCAGAAACAAGGGGCACAAAGTCTGGTCAACAGCTGGAAGCCTGTCACAAGTCTGGGGGTTGGGCAGTTAGGACAGTGGAGACCACTATGACAATAGTCACTCTGGAGACTGCTAAAGAATCCTTAGGATCTAAATAAATATATATTTACACACACACACACACACACACGATACCTTTTCAGTACCTGTATTGCAAATCATAATGCCAAAAAGGAAAGAGAGAAGAAAAGTGCCATAAAAACAGGCTGGGGGTGCAGGGGTGGAGTGGGGGGATGGGAGGGAGTGTTGGGAGGGAAAAAGTGAAAAATACAAGAAGGGAGGGAGGGAGGGAGGACGTCAGACCATCATAAGATTACTCAAAGGGCTGGATTTTTTTGATTTTTGGATTGCTTTGCAAGCAGAAAACCTGGGTCCAATTTTGACATCAGGGGGCTGGAAAGATAGAACAGCATGCAAGGCACTTGCCTCACATTCATCTGACCTGGGTTTGATCCCCATATGGTCCCCAGAGCACCACCAGGAGTGATCCCTGAGCAGAGCCAGGAGAAATCACAGCTGGGTGTGCCCTCACCCACAACCCAATTCTGACATCAGAGGATTCCCTCAAGCAACACCAAGAACCACCACCCACTAGCACTGCACAGAGCTGACTCAAAAACTGAAACTAAAAAGGAAAGATACACAGATGGAGTCAACTGTTACTTATCTGTATTGTTTTTTCTAAACTAAGCATGTATGAAGGTATTTTCTAAATCATTACATAATTAACTTTACTTAATATTAACTTTACTTTCTATACATGCAGATATTGAGTCAAATGAATAGATAATAAATACACTGAGGTTCAAAAAACTGAGTTAAATGAAAGCTGACAAGCTGACAAACAAGACTTCATATATGGAAAGACAAATTAAAACATAAAATTATGTTTTAATTTTTAAAACATAAAATGTACAGGAAATATATAAAATATTCAGTCTGCTTTATTATTTTTATTTACTTTTAAATTTAAAAATTACATATATTTTATTTCAAATAGATAAATATGCACTAAACATTAAAAATATAAATTTTTACATAAACTTTGAAGTTTTCTTAGAACTGTAGCACTGCCCTCCCAGTGCTCATCGATTTGCTCGAGTGGTCACCAGTAACGGCTCCACTGTGAGACTTTTTGTTACTGTGTTTGGCATATCGAATACATCAGGGGGAGCTTGCCAGGCTTTGCCATGCAGGCGAGAAACTCTTGGCAGCTTGCTGGGCTCTCCAAGAGGGGTGGAGGAATCGAACCTGGGCTGACCGGGACGGCCAAGGCAAACGCCCTACCACTGTGCTATCACTCCAGCCATTTCTTAGAAGAAAAACTTTATTGTTTCTAATTTATTAAATCATTATGCTGCTATGTAGCATGCATGTCAATAAAAATTGTTTTGGTAATAAAAGTAATCAATAATATACTAGGAAAGCAATAATGATTGGATACATGTAGTAAGAAAATACAAGCACATAGTCTAGAAAGAGTAATTAACTTGATATCTGAAATAATAATTTAAGTAAAACAGTTAGAGGTCAGTGAACTAACACAAAGGGCTAGCGTGCAGCTTTGCCATGTGCTAAACCCTAAGTGTGATGCCAGCATCGTACTGCCCCAGTGCTTTCAGTCTCACTAAATCTTGAGTCAGAGCACCTAACAGTTAAGTCCACACAGCAAAACTGAGCCTCAAGGTCCCTGAGCACTGCTGGCAATGCCGAAAATAGATACAGGGAAAACAATGTAGAAATTCTAAAATTGACATATTGACTTGATTTTAAACTGACCGAGCTTTATCACCAAATATTATACACTTGAAACCACTAAAAATCCATTTAAATACTAATGTACAAACATTTAGATAGCACAAAGTTTTTTTTTCTTTTTATTAGTGAAACACCATGAAGTACAGTTGTAGATTTACAATTTTTTGTGCTTGAGTTTCGATTATACAATGATCAAATACCCATCCCTCCATCAGTGCCCACTTTTCACCACCATGGATAATATCCCTCCCACCCCCACCCCCCATTCCACCCAGCCTCTGTGGCAGGGCATTCCCTTTTGTTCTCTCTCTCCTTTTGGGTGTTGTGGTCTGCAAAAGAGGCACTGAGTGGCAAACATGTTCAGTCCTTAGTCTACTTTTGACATGCATCTCCCATCTTGGGAGGATCCTCCAAACACCCTTTATTTGGTGCTCCCTTCTCTATCTGAACTGCCCTTTCCCCTAGAATGCCCGGCTGGCCTCTAAGCTATGGAGTAATCCTCTTGATGCTGATCTCAGCTATTTTTGGGTATTAATCTCATATTTTGTTACTTTATATCCCCCAGATGAATGCAATCTTTCTATGTCTAACCCTCTCTTTCTGACTCATTTCGCTTAGCATGATACTTTCCATGTTGTACCACTTGTATGTAAATTTTATGACTTCATCTTTTCTAACAGCTACATAGTACTCCATTGTGTAGATGTACCAAAGTTTCTTTAACCAGACATCTGTTCTTGGGCATTCAGGTTTCTTCCAGTTTCTGGATAGCCCAAAGTTTTAAAAAATGATTAACTGCATTTCAACAATACTAAAGGTGAAATATTTCAGAGTAATACTGAGACATGTGTCCCATACAAAAAAATTATAAACAACTAAAACCTCATGGGAAGGGGGGCGTTCCGGTCCGTCCTTCACGCCCTACCGAGGTCACCAGTTGCCCCCCACGAGCGGCTCTCCAGCACGGCCACAGCCCCAGAAGCACAAGGGCTTAATGCAGAACCCAGCAGCTTGGAGCAGAAAAGTGAAAGGACTATGCGTTAATCCAGGCAATCATTTCTGCCCAGAGGGGAAAGGGTGTTGCTCCCTTCCGCCCTCCTCCCTCTGGAAAGAAAGATGGCGGCCACATGGGAGCCTTGTGGACAGCAGGTATGAGCCGGGGGTGTGGGGGCGACTAAAACCTCATGGGAAGGGGGGCGTTCCGGTCCGTCCTTCACGCCCTACCGAGGTCACCAGTCGCCCCCCACGAGCGGCTCCCCAGCACAGCCACGGCCCCAGAAGCACAAGGACTTAATGCAGAACCCAGCAGCTTGGAGCAGAAAAGTGAACGGACTATGCATTGATCCAGGCCATCAAGTCTGCCGGAG